ATATATATATATAATTTATGTTTGCCACAGTGACACTCACTCTTAAAAGCCATTGTGTTAATCAATTATGTATTTTCATATTTTTATTAATATCTTCTCCTTCTGTTTATTAATTTTAAAATTTGCTGATGCACTAAATTCTTTTATTTTATCCATTAATAATTCAGTTCCCCTTTAAAGATCTTTCAAAACCAACACCAAATCGTCTGGAAAATGTCAACTTATCTTTTTTTAATTTGTATGCCCACAGCCCTCTCATTTTATGTCTTTACTCAACATTTCAATAACTAAAATAAGAGCAGGGACAGTGGGCTTTCTTTCCTTAATAATTCTTAAGTTAACAATTCTTTCTTAACAATTGCTTGTGGCTTCTGTGAAGTATAAATTGATTTTACTTTTACATTTTATTTATTTATTTTTATTTCTTTCATCAAGCATGTATTAGACAACATATATATGTATAAACAAGATTTTGGATACATGAAATGGATATGAATAAAAGGAAACATTAGGACAGGGATGGTAGGCCTGTTGGTGCACATATCAGCATAATCATTACTTTAAAAAAAATAAGTTGAGAAGGCAAAAAGCTTAGAGGGTAGCAAGAAAAGTGCCCACTGGATTTCTTTATGCAAGCAGTGGGAATCTCATTGTTACACTAACATGTCCCCTTCTTTCTTATCTAGGGAGAATTTGCTAGGAAGGCATTTGATGGTGAGGAACACTTTACACCAACTTACCAAGATCGTTTAACATTCTCTACCAATTTTGGAAAGGGTGATGCTGCAATTACCTTTGATCGGGTGACCATGCAAGACAATGGAACCTATGAATGCGCGGTCGAGATAAGAAATGAATTCCCATCAAAAAGTGTCGACCTAGAACTTTTGGTCCTTGGTAAGGCATTCATCCCTTTGTATTTTTGCCAGTCCAAAATCTGGATTGAGTAGTATGTATACTAAAGAGGAAGTACTGCCCATAGTAGTCTGAAATACTTTGTTCAATAATTCAGTGTGGATTAAAATAGACAAACACTGTTCTGTATATTGTAAAAAATATTGTACAGTGCAGGGGTGTATAATATATTCTAATACTTGAGAAGCAGTATTGATGATCCTTGTGCCAGTTTGAATATGATTGCAATAATCAGGAAGGTATAAACTATCCTATATTTAGTCAGATGGACCCAGTTTGATTCTTCTGAAGATTTCTAGAATATACAGTCTCAGAAGAGGACTTTCCCATCATTTCCTAAATCACTTTTTAACTGGAAGTGCTGGTGGAAGAATTTCAGACTTACATACTAAAAGGGCATCAAACTGTGATATTTCCTTCATTTTTATATATCCACAAGTCTGTCTGAAGAAGCTAAATAGGAGAGATAAATTGCATTTCTCTTCCCAAAAATGTTATTCCTAATAAATGGATTTGAAAAATAAGAATTACTGGTAGGATTAAAATTTAAAGACTAGGGGATGGGATTAGTGTGTGTGTCTGTGTCTGGTGCTGTTTCTCCCCTTATGTTATTGAACCTGTTCGCGAACCTGTTATTGTTTTCTTCTCCTCTCTTAATCCAGTTCGTCCGTCTGTTCCAGTATGCAAAGTTATTGGGAAAAAAGAATACGGTCAAAATATTAACCTGACTTGCAATTCTGATGAAGGATCCCCAGAACCTAAATATACCTGGCAAAGTTATGATCCACAGAACCAAAGCCGGCCACTTCCAGGAACAGCTGTAGGAGGTATACTCTGACTTCTCATTAATATAAATTATTTTTTTACGTTTATTTTGTATGTTTTTATCATTAGAATAGGAATGGTCATTTGAATTTCTTAAAAATAATTTTTCATGGGGGGAGGGAATGTATGACATAGAATGCTCTTTGAGTCTGTTCCAACTCATGCAAGAGCCATCTAGAACATATTTTTCCTCTGCCTAAAAGAACTAAAGGAACTTTTAAAATGTGAATGGTCAATCAGTGATTTGCTATATATTTGACTTTAGCATCCATTGTTTTGATACAGCTATCTGAGTCTGCAGGGCCAATTTCATTCCTTATAACTTTGAATCTTTGGGATATAAATGGTAGTTTTAAAGGAATTTTGCAGGGATTTTACTGATGATCATTCCTAAGTATTAATGATAGGAATTTTCTTATCTAGAACCAGCTTTGTTTGAACTCCACTTCTGCAAATTACAGAAGTACAGAATAAGCCAAAATGCTATTGCTGCAGGATGAGAAAGAGAGGCTTTGCTAATGAGTACCCTTCTTTAAATTACTGAAGGCTACATGTACTTAAAAAACAAAAACAAAATAGCTTTCTATTTAACCTGAGCATTTCTATGATGCCTTTATTTTTCTTGTAGTTCTCCATTGTCTATTTCCTTTTAGCAACAGTATGGTATAACGATGCAGACATGAATATCTCAGATTCCAGCTATAAGTTGTTATTTCTTTCCAATGGGAGGTTTCCCATACTCACAATCATTCTATTCCCCATAGTAATTCAGACTAATTGCTTGGTTCTTGATCCATGGCAATTAAAACAGCAATAGCAATATAGCAATAACAGTAGACTTATATACCGCTTCATAGGCCTTTCAGGCCTCTCTAAGCGGTTTACAGAGTC